CTGAAGGCGGCAAATTTGTGGCACCACGAATAAAACTGCAAATGTGCGGATGATGAGAGATGGAGCGGAGATCACCCTAGGAGATGACTGAAGCTAGGGCCGCCACCTGTCTTCGCAAGGTGTTTGGGGAGAGACCCTTGTCCAGACCCTCTTGTAAGAACTCTAATACTTGTGCCAACGACGGAGAAGAAGGATCAATATGAGATTTTATGCAGCATTGACAGAAAATGGACCATGTGGCACTGTATATGCGATTTGTAGAAGGGTGCCTAGCCGCTTGAATGGTGGTAATAACTTTGTTGGAAATTTTCTCGCTTCTCAGACGCTTCTCCCACTCAATCTCCATACGGCTAGGTGGAGCCATTGAGGGTCCAGATGCTGAACTGGACCTTGGGAGAGTGAGACTCTGTCCGGCGGAATTCTCCATGGTTCTGCTGCAGACAGATCCTTGAGATCTGAGAACCATGTTCATCTGGGCCAGTATGAAGCCACTAACAACTCTGCTTTCTCTTCTAAAAGTTTCTGGATCACCTTGGGGATCACAGGAAGAGGGGGAAACGCATACAGAAGTCCTGAAGGCCAATGGCAATGGAGAGCATTGATGTTCTCTGTCCCCTGAGATGGGTACCTTGAGATGAACTTAAGTTGTGAGTTGAGGGGAGAGGCGAACAAATAAATGACTAGTTGACTGAACCTCTGGACCGCTTCCTGAAAAAGAGTTGGAGGCAGGCGCCATTCTGACTGATCGACTCTGGTCCTGCTCAACCAGTCTGCCTGGGTGTTTGACAGACCCAAGATGTGCTCCGCTTTGATGGAGAACAAATTGATTTCTGCCCAAAGACACAATCTCTCCACCTCCCTCATGAGTTGTATCGAATGGGCTTGTTTATATGGGCTGTTGTTGTGACCTTTCGGTCAGGATGAGGATGTGTTTGGATCGAAGTTGTGGAAGAAAACTGTGAAGATGTAGGTGGACTGCTCTTAGCTCCAACCAGTTTATGCTGCATGATTGTTCTGGTATGGTCCAGCACCCTTGAGCCATGTGGGACTGGTAGTGAGCTCCCCATCCAAACAGGCTGGCATCCGTCATGATGGTTGATCTGTGTGGGTCCTTGAAGTGGCAATCCTTGTTGATGGTCGGGATGGCCCACCAGTGAAGGGAACTCAGGACCTTTGACAGAACTGTGACTCGGCAATTGGAGTTGTCTCTTTCTGACAGCTGGTACGGCAGCAGGTACCATTGTAGGGTTCTGGCGTGAAGCCGGGCCCAGGGAACAATAGAGATGCAGGAGATCTATTTCCTCAACAATTTAGATAAGAGGGCTAGGGGGACCCATTTGAGGGTTCTGATCTCCTGTGATAATTGTCTAATGCTCTCTTGCCTGTGTGGGGATAGGAAGACCTTGCCTTCCAGAGTGTCTATAATGGCTCCCAGGTGAATTAACCGAGTTGAGGGAGTTAGGTGACCCTTTGCCCAGTTTATAGAGAACCCATGTTGTTGTAGAGACTGCAGGGTAAGAAGAGAATCTGTTTCTATGAGGAGCGGATCCAAGGCACTGCCAAACAACTTTTCACCTGAGAGGGGCACTGAGGCAAGCTTCCACTTGTGCTTGGTGTCAGCTTGTCAATGTCTGAGCCATAGCAGTCGCCATGCTGAGACCTGTGATGCCATGGCTCTGGAAGAAAATTTGACCGCATTGAACGTTGTGTCTGCAGAGAATACTGCTGCGGCAATCAGTTTGGCAATGTCCCGGTGCACCCGAATATTGGAGGTTGGAATGGTTTCCCGCAGATGGTAGAGCCATCTCAATGAAGACCTAGTTAAAAAATGATGCAGCCGTAGCCACTCTTATGGCCCATGCATCTGACTGATGTGCCCAACAAAGAGCTAGTTCTGCCTTCTTGTCTTCTGGCTTAAGCGCTTCCTCTGATTCACTAGGAATAGCGGAGGGGGATGCCAAGGCCACTATTGGATCGTCAACCTCAGGTGTGTTTAGGGAATTAGAAAAATCAGTGGCGAGGTTGTAAAATTTCCTATTGTATCCTGTGGGGGCGGGATACGCTGCTGCGGAAGCCCATTGCTTTTGTACTAAGTCGGAAAACATGTGCGGGACTGGTATTACATCCGCTTCATTAACAGGCTGGGAGAAAATTAAATTCTCTGACTCCTCCTGTGAAACTGCTGGTTGAGAAGAGGGAGCTGTTCTATCAAGGCATGCGGTGTTCTTAGCCTTGAATAAAAGTGACTTGAATAATTGAGGGCGGAACAGTCCTGTGAATGTCGGTTGATTGGGAATAAGGCCCTCGTCATCCAACATGCCCCTCTCCAGTGGATCCACCTCTGACAGGGCTGGGTCAATGTCATGTCCTGACCCTGCCTCGATTTGGTCCATTAGGTCATCTTGGTCACCCTCTTCCTGAAACCCCAGGGGAGGCATATCTGAAAAAAAATAGAAAACTCCCCTTGGGGAGATACCTGAGGGAAATGCTGATCCATCCCACTTAGCAACCACCCCGAGCGAGACACACAATCAGAAGCTGCTGACTGTGTACTGGCCCATACGAATTGTTGTACGCCCACCGCAATACCCTGTCATATTGCTAGTTCCATCCATGCCCTCATCCTGGGGGGGATTTCCTCAGTGAGGGACTCTTCTTGGAGGAGGCCAGCTGCCATTGGAGTAAATGTGGCCCCCCGGGGCCCGATGTGGTGTGGGTGCTGCTGTTGAGGAACCAGGGGGAAGTTGCCTGTAGAGCTGCGCCTGGACAGATCTAGAGGAGGAGGCGGGGGGGCTTGGGGCCTGGGTGGCTCGAGGAGGAGACGGAACTGATGAGGTCTGCTCTGTCTCCCGCATATGCTTTCCCATTTGTTTTTCTATAGCCTGGTGGCACCTACGGGCGTCCCTTTCCTTGGCCTTTGAAGGCCTCTTGGGCACTTTGGACTTGCCAAGGCCCTGGTCATGGCTCTGGAGGGAGAAGACCTTGAGCTGCTGCCGCTTGCCATTGCAACTATAAGTATCTTATATCTATTGATGAATTGTAAATGAGGCTCCAGTATAGGGTGGTTGGACCTGCTCCAGAAAGGGGCAGTGGACCCCTATAAAAGTTTTCGATCCCCCTTATGTGAGGAATTTTTTTTGGTTTTTTTTAAATCTATCTATCTATCTATCTATCTATCTATCTATCTATCTATCTATCATCTATCTATCTATCTATCTATCTATCTATCAATCAATCTTTTTAATAATGATCTAGACGAATTTCTCTGGGCCAATCAATTCCAATTGATTCCAAATTAGTAACACCTATTCAGGCCAGAACTTGATGAGTAACAATGGCAACAGCTGCCCTGCACAGGCGGACCTAGGTCTTGGAGCTCGTTGTTGAGCTGCTGGAATAGTTATGCTGTGAGGGTTGGCCAACAAATCCTGGTCCACTACCCCAAGGATTGGGGGCAGGGATGCCAGTCCCTTGGTCTCCAAGAAGGAAACCAGACAGGAAGAAATCCTCTCACAGTCTCTGTTTTAATGGTGGATGGATGCCACAGGGTCCTTAAAATGGTATTGGCCGCCGCTCGGTGTGGCTGAAATAATCCAGCAGCTATTTCTCACCTGAATTGTTCTGAATAGAGAGGAGAAACTAGGTGGGGAAAGATAAGAAGCATTGATGCCTCCAACCCTCTTAGGGGTTGTACAGGGGAAAAGCCTTGGCCGTCAATGAGCCAAACACGAGGCGTGCTCGCTGTTCAGAAACGGCACTGACAGAAAGATTGGAAAGACAAGGTTTTCACGGTTCAGAGGTCGCCACCTCAATCTGCTCTTGGAGCGCTGCAACCACTCTTCCGAGAGAGAATAACGAGTCCTTACGGCCAGGTGTTAATAAAAAACCGTCAGAGGCTACTGGAACTCCCAGATGACAAGTGGAGCTCCTGAGATATATCTGAATACCAAACCTGAGGTTTGAAATCTGTTATAGCTTCTATTCCGGCCAATGTGGAAAGCTGCCTATTCCTACGAAGGCTGAACTAAAAACTGGGGGATGCTAGGGAGGAGCCCCATGGAGGAGGAGGAGGAGTGTCCTGACAATTAAGCCCAGCCTATCCAAGAGGAGACTGAAGCACCTCCCGCAACTGGATGCTCTGAACAGCTCATTGGAGAAGTACTTCCTTTTTCACATGATGATAGACAGAAGGACAGACAAACAGACCGTGCCATCCGAAATGACTCCACTTGAGAGTTTGGGCATATACCTCAAAGGCACTGCTGAATTAATTGTATACATGTATACAACCTTAAATTAACTATATACATGCACAAGGACGGGGCCGATGATAGAGTTGACTGCAAAATAGTTGTCCCTCTATGGTAGTGAAGCACTCGGGTCGGTGAGCAATGAATAAACCTGAGTCCATTTCAGGTAGTAAAACTAATTGCCAAGCCACAGTTTACTAATAGTTAGAGGATTTTGTTATTACTGAACCCAAATGTTTAGAAATGCTTGAGGAACATACACTAGATAATCTTTATGAAAACAAAAAGATTAATTCAAGAGTGAAGTATATCGACACCAAATGGCTCTATGCAGAGATGTACAAAGACAAGGACCTGTCAGTGTCTATAACTGTGCCATAGAACAAGTGAGATACAATGTACCAATAAAGCCATCACCCTGAGATGGCTTTATTGGCTCACTGGTTCTAGGTGCTTTAAAGCAGCGGTTCTTAGCTCCTAATACTTATTATGCATTATTAGAAAACATACATTAACCCTAACTTTACAAGTGTTTTTGTTTTACTGTCCATTTTCCCCCTTCTGTTCAATCATGTCCAATTCTGGACACAAAAGTTCCTGCATTTTTCCTGGCAAAGTTTTTAAGAATGATTTGCCATTGTCGTCTTCTTTGCATTGAAATGGTATGGACTGATTAGTGATTAAAATATTATCGTATGAGAACTACACTAAAACACTATAACCAATGAATACTTTTAAGTCAAAATTTACCAATCACTGGCAGGACCACGAACTATTTTCTTTGTGTGAAATCCTGTGGTAAACAGAAATCTAGCAGCAAGCTGAACACTTATCATTGTAATTTCTTCTGCTTCAGGCAGTAGATGATCTTGTCCTAAAAAGAAAATATAGAATGTTGTAATTGAGCGTATAAGTACTGAAATCTAAAAAAGTCAGCCTGACTCATAATACTTCTTAAATCAAGCAACTTCAAGTGTTTTTTTCAGCAATACTGCCTGATACTTAAAATATACTTTGTGCATGCATTTGAGTCAGTTTGGACCCCTGGTGACCACCAAATTAGTCCATGCAGTTTTCCTGATTATGTCTTCAAAAATGAACATGGAAGATAATGATCATAAAAAAGATATCCATAGTGCATTGAAAATAAATTTAGTAAACATTTTAAAATTAATCTCAAAGAAAAATGGTAAGATATACTGAAAATATTAAAAATGAAATCTAGGAATCTGAAAAATGTTAAATACTTTCTATTTTTATATAATGTAATTAATTTTCACTAGGAATATCCAAAAACTTACCCGGAGGGGGATTTAGGTAGACACTGTTACATGTCAGTAATTTTTTTACAAATTGAAAATATTCCAGGCTGTACTGCATTCGGTTATGCATGAATTGTACGTTTTGTTTTCGTACACTCCGTTCAATTGCAGATGGCATTTTAATTTGATGTGGTTTAGTGGTAATTGCAAGTTCTGAAATATATTTTATAAGTTCATTGTCTTTCTCTACTGTGTCCATGCGTTCATAAAAAAGAATGTAAGCATTCCACCACCTCTTCTGACGTCTGTAGGACATCCGTTTCATCATATGATCAAATACTTCTCCCATGTATTCTCCACCAAAACACTGATTTTTCATTTCTTCATCATCATCCATTTTGCATTCAGTTACATCACCATCATCAAATTTATACCATCTGTTTTTCTCACCATCTCCTCCATTTCTTTGAATAATGTAAGAGTAATAATGTCCACCACTGGCTTGACCACTGTGCACCAAAACACCCACTAGTCTGTATTTTGTACTTCCAGAATGTTCATTTTCTGATTGTTCATTCTGTATTAGTTGATTTTCAGGATTTACATCATCTCCTTCTAACTTAGCTACTCCTGCCACAGTATAAGGTTCCATATCCAACTCACGTGGAAACTCAAAATAATCATTGAACTTGATTGCACATTCCCTCTCCCAATCATAGTCAAATCTTTTTAGCTGGATGGCAAGAACTGGAGGCAGTTTTTTAATCAGCAAGCGTTTCACTGTATCAACCTGGGAAATAAATACAATTATTTCTATGAATTATTAAAAGCAACAAATTCTAAATAAAACTATAGTCATTTTTCCTGACCAAACTGGTATAATGCACTTTCTGCTCCTATACACACATTTTAAATAACATGATTAAGGAGTGATGGATATCTCTAAATTCATGATAATTAAACTCTTCATAATTAAAAAATGGAGATCTTGGCCATCATTATTCTAAGAAATATTCTAAAATTCTGACTAAAATATGATGAATAGAAGCTCTCAATTCTCTTACAAAATAAAAATCTAAATTGTTCTCTTACTGACCAATGAGAGCTGCTACTGAATTCAAACAGATTTAGAGCAGGCCAAAATTACCTTCTTGTTGCATTTTTCACAGTGATATGCATTTGCACCTTCCAGTAAGTCTCCTTTGACATATTGTTCCAAGGAGTCAAGTAGATTTTGGTGATTTCTTATGTCTACATTCAGTGTTGTAAAAGATTCTTCACATTCATATCTGTAAAGATAGAAAAGTAATTTAATTTTGCTAAATGGATTATTGAATAATCTTTTATTATTAAGCAACATAATTTTATGAATAGAATAAAATGTATACTGAAAACTTAAAATATATTCTTAGGTACTATAGAAAAATTTAGACTGACAACTGCAATTATAAATCAAAAGCTACCCACTGGATAAATGGCAACATTGCATTGTTATTTTCTTTATGTAGAAAGGTTAATAGAAGTTGAAAAATGGTTACATTTACTAATAAATGAATATGGAAGAACAAATAAACCCAAACTGATACAAAAGAGGACAACAAGAAGCTTCCATTTTTATTTTTATTTAGAAACAAGGAAGCTCAAAGACAAACTATTACTGTACACATGGCTTTTCAATATGATTTTATCAGTGGCAGAAAAGAATAGCTGTAAAGGTTTCCTGCCTATATTACCACATAAGATGCATGAACAAATATCAACAAAATCAACCACTGGATCTGGACTAACCCTCAAATGATCAGCAGTATAGAACTCACATGAAAAAGTAAATTCAAGGAATTAAAACATTCCAGTATTTTTATTAAAGTTAGTGTGAAATATTTTTGTGTCACCAGTTTTCAAAACATCATTTAGTATGCTAATACAAGAAGTATATATGTTTTATACAATAATATACAATGGCCTATTAGATAATTAAGCACATACCTATGAGGGCAACCTTGACAGATTTTCTGATCAGCAAAGGATCCTCCCAAAACTTTACTTAACATTGCTGGATGACCTAAGGCTTTTAAAGCTTCATCTAGACTATCCACCAAGGAGTTAAAAAATTCTAAAGCATCATGTTGTTCTCGAAGATTTACAGGTTCACCCCAGAGTCTAGAATAAGAGAGGTTTTTTTAAATAAAATCAGATTTGGGGCAAATAACATTGCATGGAAATAAATTTGTTTACCTCAACTTTAAAAGTTAAAAGATGCATGTTACAGGTATACAACTATCTTCAAATTATATAGAGATTCATTTTCAAGGATGACTAAATTACTGTCACAACCCAAATCAAACTCTTCATTTATGGGATAATGTAGTCCTTAAAATAATTAAGGAGATAATAGGACTTAAAGTGGTACGCCTTGACTTCATCCTTTTTTTCCTTCCTAGAATGCTTCAAGAAAAATGCCAGTGTGTCCCATTCTAGGTGTCAAAGGCTAATGTTTCTAGACGTATTTCAGGAACAGAAGATGGATATTGTGAGAACTCCATTCCTGTTTCTGTAGCTACCTATTTTAAAATATTTCAAAAGAGGAAAATTAAAAGTTTTTTCCATTAAAAACAAAAGAATAAAGCCTTCCTTATCTGACATTCTAAGTTTTTCCCTTTATAGTAATTTTGAAGTGAAAAACAATAAATATGTTAAGTTAAATTGTATGTAAAAAGATACAAACTTAAGATCCAGTCCCTTTTTCAATAATGAACAGAATCTTCATTGTTTGCCTGAAAACATTGTTTTGCATGAAAATCTGAAGTCACATAGGTCACAAATAAGGTAGTTATGGCTAAGTTATCCTCTTTGTTAAGCCTTTAAAAAATGGTCAATTAAAAAAATAGTGGTGTCATTAACTATAGTGCCTGACACAAATTTGCTCATTGCTTATTTGATACCCTTAAAAAGCTGTATCTAGTGAAGCAATTATGTCCAAGTAGGTAAAGTGACCTCTCATCTTGATTACTACATTACAATAAATGATGCACATGTAACACTGCTATTCTGTGAGCTGCATTAGTTCCAGGTATAATTCAAGGTGCTGATTATCATCTTTTTTATGGCTTAGGGCCAGGTTACTTCAGGGACCATCTTTTACCAGTTGTTTCTGCTCATCTGATCTAGCCAAGCAGGATAGGAAGTAAAGATTTGGTTATATCAGGGATCTGGCAGGGATCTGTTTCTTTGTTGTGATTTGGTTTGTTGTTTCTTGTATTCTGATTTTTTATAATGTTTGTTATTGTTTCTATTCTATTTTATTTCTGTTTGCCACCAAGAGTCATTCATTGAGATGGGAAGCCATATAAATTGGATCAACAAATAAATAAAAATACAGCTCAGATATCTTTTATCCTTGAACGTAAGATTGAATCTTTTAAAAAGAAATATAATTGAAAATAATACCTGTGATATTCCAAACAATAGTTTTAAATAAATCAAGTATTATAGGTGATTTATATTGCTCTCATTTTTATTTATCTTTATTTGCAACATATTTTCTTTGTTATATATTCGACAAGACTGATTAACTATAAAATAAAAGCCTGGATTAAATGGAAACAATGTATTCCTAGTATTCAAAATTCAATCTGAAAAATTGCTAGCACCAAGGTAACTGCCAGAATTAATTAGCTTACAGTAAAAACTCCATGTCTATCAGCCTGTATAAACTCCCCATTTGGATATTTTGTTTCCCCATGAACAGGTAGAAAAGACAAGAATTCAGCCACAGTTAGGAAGTTCAAGGGACAAAAATCTTGCCACACTATTTTTTTTGCTTTTCATTAAACTTATAGGCAGAAACTTCATTTCCCACTAAGGGATCTTCCTACTATGATGGAGCCTGCATAATCTAAAGCTTTAGTTCGTGTTTTGTTGTATCAACAAACTACACCAAGATTTTCTCTAAACTACCCAATAAGTTTTTTTTCTTTGAGCAATTTTAGCTTGCTTTCTACATAGGTTAGAAGGTTCACATAAAGCTATTATCAATTTAGAAATCTAATAAACTCTCTTAATGATTTATCAAGTCATGCTGCTTGTAACATATCATAGAAGACATTTTAACAGAAGTTAATTTCCCATTTACCTGAACTGTTTCCAAAATCCTCTTGGTACATAGTATTGTAATCTAGATGCTGCTAAGTGGCCAAATATGACCTGGAGATGTCTTAATACACCTATGTTGTACTCTTTTCTGTCTTCTGTTTTATTTAAAGTTGGTTTATCTTCATATGGATGGGGATAGCCAAACACTTCATCTCGTGGGTCAACATTGCTCTTAAAAAAGAATCATATATGTATACATGAGGACAACTGCACAGTACAGTTTGGTAGCTGGACTTATAATGAACTATCCTTGTGTCACAGGATGATGGAGCTGATGCTCTAGGGCAGGGATGTCAAACTCAACGCCTGCAGGCCAGTTGCGGTGCATGGGGTGCTTAGATCTGGTCTACAGGGCTGGCCCTGGAAACAGCAAAGGACTGGCCCGTGGTGCCTCTGCCAGTGAAAATTCAGGAGGGCCTCACGTTGCTCTCGCGAGCTCCATTTGTGTTGGCAGACGGCTGCAGGAAGATCCCCCAGCCCCCCCAGGTCACCACAGGTGCCCCCGAAACTAGTGATGTCAAGCTGGCCACACATCTGGGGCCCCCAAGGTCAAACACAACGCTGATGCGGCCCTCAATGAAATCAAGTTTGACACCCCTCCTCTAGGGACAACTGTCTTTCCTGATGAAAGGGGAATGCTAAAACAATTTTTGCATTCCTTGCAGAGATGTTTGCTTGTCAATCACATGAATAGACTTCAGAAAATATTATCATCAGTAATATCATTACTACTATCATAATATTTATGTGGTTTGTCGCAGTCAGCCAAATGTTCAGATGAATTTGGCATTTTTGTCCACCTATTGAGTCCTTCCCATGAACTTGGAATAGGCAGATGTGGACGTTTGATGGTGTTACACATACTGTTGCAGAATGTAAGCTGTTCCAAGAAAAGCTGCCTTTTACAATTGAAATTTGTCAATGCCAGTGGTGTTCAAGTGGTGCTTCAGTTTTGGTATTGCACCCAAGACACCTCTTATTATTGATACTTCTTTGCTTTCTTTTACCACAGTTGTTCTATTCCGTCATCACCATTATCATTTCCGCCCACTTTTAAAAAACATATTTGGTCAATTCAGGGTGGGGATTATAATTAATGCTCATCTCTCCTATTTTCCCCACGATAATCCTGTGAAATGGGTTGGGCTGAGAGAGAGTGACTGGCCGAAAGTCACCCAGCTGGATTTTCATGTCTAAGGGAAGCCTAGAACTTAAATTTCCTGGTTTCTAAATCAGCACCTTAACTACTACATCAAACTGCTGATCTGTGTTTGTTTACCAATTTACCAATTAACCATAAACATTTTAAAAATGATAAATTTTTAAAACATAAATCAAACTTTCCCTTCTTCTTTGTAAGCAATTTTCTCCCTTTTCTTTGGAAGGACCTATCAACTCCATCATCCAGTGATCAGTCATCATTAATCTAACCATACGGGTCCATCCACTGTTTTGGGTAGATAAATCAACACAGCTGACATTACACAAATATATAACCACTGTATTCCTCCAAAAAGGAGACTACAACTTTGTGACAGCACTCTTTTGAAACACTGTGTAATCTAATGGTGTAACTGATGAGTCAATTTGTTTATCTTGAATGGGCTAATGAATTTTGAATGACTGAAAGGTAGACATAATATAAGTGCTAATCAGTGAAATCTCTACTCTTAATACTAGTCCTTACCAAATTAATATTGATTCTTTTAGCTCAGAGTTTAAAGAGATGTATTCTCTTTATCCAAGGGATAATGTGATACCTACTTGACATAGCTCCTAGCTTGTACCATGATGATGGGTTGCTCACAGGAGCATTAACCCTTCATCGATTGAATAACTTGAGATTATAATCCTATTGTTTTATGGCTATTATTTTGTTTTTGTCCTGTTATAGCTTATACGACTAATGCAAACATATTAAGTTATTGAAAACAGCCTGATCCCATGAGTAATTATTTATGTTTCATATACAGGATAAAACAAATAAAATTTATTTGATTTAACCATTCTTGGGGATGGATGGGTGAACAGACATTGTGGACATAACGACAATGCAACCCCTTTCTTGTGAATCTATACAGATATGTTCAGAAAAGAAATATTGCAATCTAAGTTGTATTAAGTCAACATGTGTACATTATCTTTGGATTCTATGCTTATGGAAACAGTATGTGCCATACTGGATGTATAAGGCACATTCCTCACTTTGTCTGTCTTATCAAGTTGATGCACTGAAATAATTTATTCAGGCTATCTTGTTTCAATAGTCTTTAAAATAAGTCATCCAAAATTCTGTAACTTGAAAGAGAAATGTAATTTTTTAATCCAACAAAGTTAGCACTTTCCTGAAATTGCCCCATATAACAGCTCTACTACTGTAATTTGCAAATAGGCAATATTTTTTGCAGACAATAATAACCTCAGACAGAATGCAGATCAGAATACAATGAGAAGTACTGAGGTTCAGACTCATTTGCTAAACTATTATTTGCTAAAATATTGATCCCTGAAATCAAGATCAAACAGCTGACTGGTTTGAAATATAAGTAGGGTTTGCCACAAACTGTAATTAAACTTCTCCTTTCAAGCAAAAACGTGGGAGTGGGATGGCAAGGGTTCATAGCTCATCAGTGTACATTCTCTTAACTACAGGTGAAACTCGAAAAATTAGAATATCATGCAAAAGTTCATTTATTTCAGTAATGCAACTTAAAAGGTGAAACTAATATATGAGATAGACTCATTACATGCAAAGCAAGATAGTTCAAGCCATGATTTGTCATAATTGTGATGATTATGGCTTACAGCTCATGAAAACCCAAAATCCACAATCTCAGAAAATTAGAATATTACATACAATCAATAAAACAAGGATTTGTTTTAGAACAATATCGGACCTCTGAAAAGTATAAGTACTCAGTACTTGGCTTGGGCCCCTTTTTCAGCAAGTACTGCCTCAATGTGGCATGGCATGGAAGCTATCAGCCTGTGCCACTGCTGAGGTGTTATGGAAGACCAGGATGCTTCAATAGTGGCCTTCAGCTCTGCTGCATTGTTCGGTCTCATGCCTCTCATCTTTCTCTTGGCAATGACCCATAGATTCTGTATGGGGTTCAGGTCAGGTGAGTTTGCTGGCCAATCAAGCACAGTAATCCCACGGTCATTGAACCAGGTTTTGGTGCTTTTGGCAGGGTGGGCAGGTGCCAAGTCCTGCTGCAAAAAGGAAGTCAGCATCCCCATAAAGCTCGTCTGCGGAAGGAAGCATGAAGTGCTCCAAAATCTCCTGGTAGACGGCTGCGTTGACCCTGGACTTAATGAAGCACAATGGACCAACACCAGCAGATGACATGGCTCCCCAAATCAACACAGACTGTGGAAACTTTACACTGGACTTTAAGCATCTTGCAGTATGTGCCTCTCCATTCTTCCTCCAGACTCTGGGTCCTTGGTTTCCAAATGAGATACAAAAGCTGCTCTCATCAGAAAAGAGGACTTTGGGACTTCCGATTTGAGCTTCGGTGACAGACCGAAACCTTGTTTCTGTGAGGCTTCAATCCGTGCTCGCCACTGGAGTGCCCCGAGCCGGCTGGGTTCGGGGCTAAGCCACCCTGTAGAGGTGGTGAAGAAGGGGGAGACTGCCTGCAGGGTTGAGGAGAGCCGCATCTCTCCTCCCCAGCTGGCCATTACTCCCTTTCCCGAAGGCGGTTGCAACGGTGGTCAGAAATGGCCACCACAAAGAAGAACTCGACCGGAAAAGAATGTGCAGGAGGAAGATAAGAAGAGAAAGTTTTGGTTGACCGGGTCAAACAGCAAAAGCAACAAATAAGGTACCCTGGAATTGAAACTATTAAAAAAAAACAATAAAATTGCTCCCTAAGAAGATTTTTAAGCTGCGAAGGAGAGAGAAAAGGGAAAAGATCTGGGGTTTTTTTCTCCTTTTCCTATACTAACAGCTAAGAGACTAAAGCAAGAAATCGGAAAAAAATCCACTTTGACATTAATACGCATTTAATGCTGAAAATAAAAAGTCAAAGGGATAACAAAGATTTCTGGATAATCAAAAGCTTTTGAAAACAGGAAATGAGAGAGGAAGAATAAAAGGGCGGGATCTGGAAGGGAGGAGACTGCCTGGAATTAAAAAAGAACTTATAGCAAAATCTCAACAAGACTTCCAAAAGATACATTCTAACTGAAATATTGCAACAAAAACCCCAGGAAGAGAAAGTCAAAAAAGAAATAAGAAGATATAACTTGGGACTATTTGGATTACTTGATGATTTCTGGATTTTTGGTTATTGTATTTGAATGACTAAAATCAATCGGGTGGTTGTTTAAAACTGTTTAAAATGGCTCCACTTTTAGAAGAACTGAAAACGGAACTTAAAAAGTACAAAGAAGATGCACAAGGAGGGAGAGGTTCTTTTGGCTTCGTATTTCAGTTTTTAGAAATGGAGATTTGGAATTATGAGAAACAACAAGAAATACCTGCAGAACAAGAAGATTGTGACAAAGAAGAAGCCATTTTTAATGAACAAGTAATCTTAGGTGGGGGAAAAAGAGGAAAGGGGGGAAAGAGAATGGAAAGTTTAAGATTGGGAAAAACAACTGCCCCCCCAAAAAGAGTGAAAAATAAGTATAAAATCAGAAAGCAACAGAAGAGGGAAATGCAGAAGAGAGAATCAGAAGTAGAGAGACAAGGGGGTAAAAAGGAAAGGGAGAAGTAGAGAGGGAAGAAAGAAAGGAAAAGACGTTATAAAGGACAGAAATAAAATATAGAGAAACGGGGCCAATTCAGAGATAATGGGTGAAAATTTAATGGAAAAAGGGATTCTGCAAAGGTACATAAGATAGTATTGTTAAATTAGAAACAGAAATAATTTTAGAAAATAGGAAACGGTGTATGATTAAAATGTTTGATAAAATAGCTATCGTAATTCAGTGGAATGCTTGTCAATAAATAAATGTAACAAAATGAATATTTAATGATTTACAAAACATATGTGAAGAGAAATAAGGGAAAAATTAATTATAGAGATTATATGTGTCTTTAAGGAAGTATGATATTTAATTGAAAAGAAATGTTAAAGATGTTAAGATTTTAATGATTATTGATAGAACTGAATTGGAATAGAATGAGGGTTTATAATTACATATATTTATAATCCTTTTTAAAAAAAGAATATAGTGTGTATTATAAGAATGTACCAAGCAGAATTCGATTGGAAGTTATGTATTATGTATTATATTGAAGATCATAACCTTAAGGTATATATTGAAATTTAAATAAGAGTTGAATGGATGTAATTAAAAGATATAAAGGTGTCATACTCCAATTAGTAACTACAGGAGAAAATTTGTTTAATGAGAAAAGATAATATGAAATTGAAACAGAACAGACAAAAGTATAAATATAATGATTTGAATTGAGATGAGATAATCAAAATAAAATTGAGAAAATTAAAAGAGGGGAAAAACTATATAGAAAATGTAAAATAGTATAAGATATGGAATAGAACACAAAAAGGAGCATGAAATTGAGTTTTGTGTCTGTATAAAGAAGTTCAACCAGGACCATGCTATTTTCAAAAAAGATATTTTACTTGTATTTTGTATGTGTGAAAACCCAAATAAAATTTTATTTAAAAAAAATAGAGGACTTTGGACCACTGAGCAACAGACCAGGTCTGTTTTTCTTTAGCCCAGGTAAGACGCTTCTGACATTGTTTGTTGTTCAGAAGTGGCTTGACAAGAGGAATATGACATTTGAAGCCCATGTCCAGGATTCGTCTATGTGTGGTGGCTCTTGATGTACTGACTCCAGTCTCAGTCCACTTCTTGTGAAAGTCCCCAATACTTTTGAATGGCCTTTTCCTGACCATCTTCTCTAGGCTGCGGTCATCCCTGCTGCTTGTGCACCTTTTTCTTCCACACTTTTCCCTTCCTCATAACTTTCTATTAATGTGCTTTGACACAGAACTTTGGGAACATCCAACTTGTTTTGCAATCACCTTTTGAGGCTTTCCCTCCTTATGGAGGGTGTCAATGATGGTTTTCTGCACAACTATCAGGTCAGCGGTCTTTCCCATGATTGTGATTCCTACTGAATCAGACTGAGAGACCATTTAAAGGCTCAGGAACCCTTTGCAAGTGTTATGGCTTAATTAGCTGATTAGAGTGGGACACTTTGAGCCTAGAATATTGAACCTTTTCACAATATTCTAATTTTCTGAGATTGTGGATTTGGGGTTTTCATGAGCTGTAAGCCATAATCATCTCAATTATGACACATCACGGTTTGAACTATCTTGCTTTGCATGTAATGAGTCTATCTCATATATTAAGTTCACTTTTTAAGTTGCATTATTGAAATAAATGAACTTTTGCACGATATTCTAATTTTTCGAGTTTCACCTGTATGTCTTGTTATATTTTTCCATGACCAAAATTATGCTCCTCCATCACTCCAGTGCTTTCCCTTTTTTATCTTTTTTTATAATCAGATTTACATCCATAAATGTGTTGTGTCCATACTGTATTGAATGCCATTCAATAATATCATATTTTGAAACATTAATGTAGCTTACAATTTGGGAAATGCTTGCTCAAAGACTGTAAAAGAAAATTTATAGATACTGTATTATTCAAGACATCAAATTTAAAAAGTCACTGTTTGGTAAAGAGAGAACATTGAAAGTATTTTAAAGAGCAGATAAATGGTTGAGGATAATGAGTTATAAGAAAAGTTTAAACAGGCCACATTTAATGTATATGAGAAAGCGAGAAAACAACATCAAATTTGTGTAACACAGAAGAGTATCTGCTTTTAAAATTGCTGATATTACTAAGAACTAACATAAAAGCATAGAATGTGGCTTCTATATGCTTTTTAAACTGTTGGTAAATTGTTAATCATTTTTAAACTTATTGCTAAACGCGCATATATACAGTCATATACTAAGCAAAACACAATATTACCTCATCTTGTTTCTCATCTCCAGACACGTCATCATCTACATCACTGCCTGTTCCATCAATTGCAAGAATTCCATTCCTAATGGCAGGAATCATATATAGTTGCTGAATGACAGAATTCATGTAACAAGTGGCTCCAGCATTTTTAAGCCCTACAAATCCCTTTGGTGGTCGTGGTCCAACAGGTGGCAGATATTCCCATTCTGTTAATGCTTCACACGCTAGGACAAATTAAACATAATAGATCATTAGTGTCAGATTCGTGTATCTGTCATTTCTTCAGTGGAAGAAGAAAGGGGGGGGGAAGCTGATAAAGAAATCCTTTCTTGATGTAACCTGAATATATTTAATCTTATATCGAATTTGTATAACCCACACATGATAACGATGGAGGGAGAAAAGCCAGATGGCCAGAACTATCACCTCTGAGAGGCACAACCAGGAGATGAGAAGGTCATAAAAATTCCACAGTGAGATTGTACTTTGGAAATCTCTTGAATAGTTCGTTCTAAAAGGGGGGTAGGGGGGAAATTAGGTATGCCCTGGGAAACTGTGAAAAGATCGTTCCTTACAAGAGGGGTGGGGAGGAATTAACATACCGGCTTTTGTTTCACTAAATACACATCGAGATAAGGGGAGGGGTTCTAAACTCCCTTATGTATCCCTGTATGACACTGCTTTGAACTCCTACAGGAATTGTCTCATCTCAATAAAGAATTCCTTTGTGATACATTTGGATACATTTTCAGAAGTTCATTCTAGTTGAGTGAATGGGAAAAGTTCTGTAGCCTGACAATTAGCAGCTTATAACTCAAAATATACTAGTAGGCCAATTGCTAGCGCTCAAAACTGTATTCATAAAATAAGTTTATTTCAAATACAATTCCATTTTACATTTGCATTTTACATGAAAATGTGTAAATTAGGAATAACATTCCTCAGCATCTTGTTTTCCAAGTACAAATAGGCAAAACAAAATCTACAGTCAAATGAAGCACCAAACAATATAGTAAGCCCCCTTTAAATAATTTATCTGCAAGTTATTTTAAGATAACTTGCAAAATTGCTAATTTGTAAGACAATGGATTAGTTTGCCAAAACTGAACAAAGACTTGTGACAGGATCCCAAAATTAATGTTTCTAGGTTCCTCAAGCAAGGAGAATTAATAATACTTTGATGTTTCCTTTTCTAACTGCAATTATTCAAATCATTTCAACCGGTCACCAAGAGTCTTCGAAGAAACTCTAATATAACAATTTAGAACTGAAGCCTCTAAGAATACAGTACCTTCCAGCCCTAACCAGATTTAATCTCTACTACTTTTAGAAAGTATGATTATACTACCTAGCAGTCATTTTCGAGAAAAAAGGTTAGTTCTGGATTTAAGCAAGAAACAGCATATTTTCTTTCTCATTCAACACCAGCAATCTTCTGTATAAATTTTTAAAATGCTCAAAGACTACAATCCAGAGAAATGGGATTAATATACTACCAACCCAGCATTTTCCCCAAATAAATGATGAAAATACATAAAAATATATGAAGTTGCCCACATTAAAATTCATAGAAAAATATTAAAATGTGAAATAGTACATACTTGTTATTGCAGTGCCTATATAGTACATTTCAGTCAAAGTGTCTACTATTTGTTTGAGGTTACGGACACAGCCCACTGCTAAGGCTACTAACAGCTCAAATCCAGCATTAATAGTAGCCGGGGAACTACAGACAGGTATTGCCTGCTCAGCAGGTAATTCTCCGTTTCTCATGTATTGCAAGTAAACATTCGATGCAGGAAAGATGAAATCATCTATTAATTCCTGAAAAATAGTAAATGAACTATCTGTTATTAATTTAGGAACTATCCAGATCAGAAGAAAAGAAACATCATTTAAGTGTCAGACTGCCTTAGATTCTTAGAGAGGATTACTTACCTGAAAGAAAGCAAGAAAACCTAAATTCCATTACTATTATGTAATCATAATGAATCGTTCATAAGACTGTGGATTATTTAAAAATATATATGAAAAATGATGGTGTTAATAAACAGTTTATCAAACCTATTTAGCCACAGCTGAGAGGCCAGGTAATAACAAGTTATTTGAATAAAGCAGGGGTGGCCAACCTTTTGGACCTCAGGGACCACCAAACTCATAATTTTAAATCCCAGGGACCATTAACTGGTTCTATGGATGTGGCCTAATTTATGGGTGTGGCTTGGTGGTCATGTGACTGGCTGGGCATGGCTTGTATGTAAATATTATAAATATTTATATAAATATTGAATTTTTTATAAAAAAGAGCAACTTTTAACCAAAATCAAGCAAAGCAGGCAGGCAGATTGAGTTGCTCACAGAATTATTCAGTGATCTATCTGCCATCGGCTAGCTCAGTCTCTCAAATTTGCTTGCTGTGAGTTTGTACTGAATAATAAAACCTTCAGTCCTAAGGGAGGTTCGGCTGTGCTTAAAAGCAGAGTTGAAGATCTAAAGACTAGATAGAAAGCAAGAAATCCAAACATTTCCTGCTTCCTAGCTAATCTAAATCTCCCGGCACAGCAGATGGTTGGAAAAAGGAAAAATAGCAATTTAGCAGGCAAGTTTGCTGGGTAAGGAGTGAGTGGGCGGGGAGGGTTCCTGCGGGCCATGTGGGCGGTGCAGCCTTGTGTTTCTGCTCAGCCTGGATTAATTGCTTTGGGGGGGGTGCTCTGGGGGTGAGATTTCTCTGAGGCCCATCAAAATTTTCTCATGCCCCACCAGTGGGCTGTGGCCCACCAGTTGGCAACCGCTGGAAAAAAGGATTTCAAGGCAGGGAGATTTGCCTTAATTTTCAGAGCAAGGACTTATTTGCCCTTAATTTGATAACAGATTTCTTGTCTCATTCACATTTCAGTTAGGATTCTAGCATGCTTAAGATGAAATGATTTTGTATGGTGATAATGTATGGTACATCATGTTACATTTACCTCAGTTACATAAAGGATTCTTTATTCAATGACTTACTTCATTTAGAACTTTATAAAAATTGAGAAAGGATAAAAGTTTTTCCTTTTCTTCTCTCAACAGAAATTTTGCTGTGATTTAAATATAGATCTACATATTTTGAAAATTGCAACATTCAATTAATTTAAAATGTCATGTTTTTTGTAAACATGCCAAAATACATTATAAATTTGTATATTTTTCACTTTGCTACTAAAATTTTTTAGAACATTTTGTACAGCAATAGCTTACTTTGATAAGATTAGCACCACCTTTTTCACAACCAATGTGGTATTTCTTTTCAGGAGTTTGGAATGCCAACAATTCTTTGGTAATTCCAAGATGACCTTCTAGAATAGTTTCCTCTACACCTGTTTCTCCTGTCCTTTTCACTTCATCCTAAGGAAGGAGAATATTCAGACACATGAGTTTTCAAACATTTTTAGGGAACACATATCAGTTAACTTACTATAATTATTCCATTTTTTAATTTTACGTATTTGATTCCAAGGCAATTAACACTTAAATTTAAAACAAATTACAAGTGGTGATAAAATAACAGAAAAAAAAACTTACCCTGATCTTTTTAAGCCAGTCAATTTCATTATTAAGCAGAACTTCAGCATTGGGCACATTAATATTACTATTATAAGCATAATTTAGAAGATGTCTTAACAGAGTAAAGTAATCTCCTGAATGTTTAGCACGTTCTCGTGCAGTAGTCTGAAAGAAAATATCAATATAGTTGAAAATATACTTTAATTGTCACAATACAGAATATTTCTTTTTTTAAAAAAAAATTATTTGGGTTTTCACAAAAACAAAATACAAATAAAACATCTTTTTTGAAAAGATGGTCCCAGGTTATCACTTCTTCATACAGACACAAAACTCAATTTCATGCTCATTTTTATATTTTGTTCCATATCTTATTACCATTTTATATTTTCTACATAGTTTTTTCCCCGTCTTCTAATTTTCTCAACTTTGTTTTAATTATCTCAATTCAAATCATTATATTTATACTTTTGCCTGTCCTGTTACAATTTCACATTATCTTTTCTTATTAAGCAAATTTTTCCCTGTAGTTACCAATTAGAGTATGACACCTTTATATCCTTTAATTTTATCCATTCAAGCTCTTATTTAAGCTTCAATGTATAGCTTTAAGATTATAGCATTCAATATAATACATAACTTCCAATCGATTTCTGCTTGGTACATTCTTAAAATAGACACTATATTCTTAAAAAGATATATATGTGTGTGTGTGTGTGTGTGTGTGTGTGTGTGTGTGTGTGTGTGTGTAAAAAACACATTCCATTCCAATTCAATTCTAACATTAATATGCATTAAAATCTCAACATCTTTAACATTTCTTTTCAACTGAATATCATACTTCCTTGGGAACACTTATAAACTTTCCATAGTTAATTCTTCCCCCCCCCCATATTTCTCACTTATATTTTTATAAATCATTACTAATAATTAAAAATGTTCCCTTTTAATTCTCTCAATCATTTTAATTCATTTATTTATTAACAAACATCCCATTGTATTACAATAAATATTTTATCCATCATCATATTTTCTAAAGTTATTTCTATGTGTAATATAACAAAGCTATCTTATGTACCTTTGCAGAATCCCTTTTACAATTAAATTTTCACCCATTATCTCTAACAAACTTATGGCTACAATCCTTATATCTTTTCCCTGTTTCTCCATTTCTTGTTTCTGTCTTTTACAACTTCTTTTCCTTGCCTTCTTCCCCCTCTTCTTCTCCCTCCCCTTTTTACCCCCTCGCCTCTCTACTTCTAACTCTCTCATCTGTAATCCCCTCTTCTGTTGCTTTCTATTATATTTATCTTTCAAATTGTTCTTCTTTTTGGTTGCCTTTTCTAATCTTAAACCTTTCACTCTCTTTCCCCCCTTTTCTTTTTTCCCCCCACTTAAAATTATTTGATCATTAAAGATGGCTTCTTCTTTGTCCGAATCTTCTTGTTCTGCAAGCATTTCTTGTTGCTTCTCATAGTTCCAGATCTCCATTTCTAAGAATTGAAACACGAAGCCAAAAGAACTTCTCCCTTCTTGTGCGTCTTCTTTCCATTTTTAAAGTTCCATTTTCAGTTCTTCTAAGAGTGATACCATTTTAAAAACTTTTAAACAACCACCCAGTTAACTTTAGTCATCTAGATGCAAGAACCAAAAATCACCAAGTAATCCAAATAATACAAGGCTGTTTCTTTCTGCTTCTTTTTTCCACTTTCTCTTCCTGGGGTTCTATTATTTTGTTACCAAGTTTCCATTAAAATGTATCTTTGACGAATCTTGTTAACATTTCACTGTAAGTTCCTTTTAATTACAGTTCCATTCCTTAATTCCAGGCAGCTTTCTCCATTTTTCCAGATCCTGCCCTTCTTTTTTTTCTCCTTTCCAGCTTTTAAAAACTTTTAAATGTCCAGAAATCTTTATTATCCCTTTGACTTTTATTTTCAGCTTAGATGCCTATTAATGTCAAAGTGGATTTTTTTTTCAGTTTCTTGCTTAACTCTCTTAGCTGTCAGTATAAGAAAGGGAAGAAAAAAAAAACCTAATCCTTTCCCTTCTCTCTCTCCTTCGCAGCTTCAAAATCTTCTTTGGGAACAATGTTATTAAGTTTAAATTCCAGGGTACCTTATTTGTTGCTTTTGCTGTTTTGACCTGGTCAACCAAAACTTTCTCTTCTTATCTTCCTCCTGCACATTCTTCTTCTTTGTGGTGGCCATTTCTGACCACCGCTACAACCGCCTTCGGGAAAGGGAGTAATGGCTAGCTGGGGAGGAGAGATGCGGCTCTCCTCAACCCTGCAGGCAGTCTCCCCCCTCTTCACCACCCCTATGGGGTGGCTTAGCCCCAAAACCAGCCGGCTCGGGGCGCTCCAGCGGCGAGCACGGATCGAAGCCTCGGAGAGACGAGGTTTCGGTCTGTCACCGAAGAAGCTCAAACCGGAAGTCTCACAATACAGAATATTTCTTAAAGTTTATATTTAATTCAAACATCCTGATAAGCAAGATTCCATTAAACCAGCCTACTCTCAAAAGTGTACACATACATAATACACATATACATATGCTATATACACATGCTATATCATGAAACAGTTTATGCTGTTAGAAATATTGTATTTTCAATTTTTTCTTCTACAACCAAATACTTTCCATCATATTCTAGATAGTTTTCAAATGTATCCTAACTCTTTGGAAATATTCCTTAGCATGTGATGCAGGAATATCTTGGTACATGAAAAAAGATAGTTGTATAATTTCTAGATGTGACCTAAGATTCCAATTCAAGCACATTTCATGTTCTTACAAATATCTTGATTCATTGCTTTAAATAATGGAAGTAGTTCCTTATGACTGTGCAATCCACCAGAGCTCAGTAAAACCATTATTTGAAAAACAGATCACATGTATTCAACAAGCTTCTTTACCAGTACTTATTAGTAAAATAACCACTGGTAAAAGTACCATTTGTTACCAAATCATACTTCTAGGCCATTGTTCCTCTCTATTTTGCGTAGGTCAGATGACCCCTGCAACATTAAGTGACATTATTGTATTTTATAAAGACCATTGATAAATAACTGCCTCATTTAGCAATTGTTCAACAGTGATGAAAAATGACTTTATGATCAAATCCTTGTATGTACAAACTTTGCATATGTGTAAAGCAAAGGAAAGCTGAAGATAATATGCAGAAGTAAATTTCAGTTAGCAATTACTTCTCTTAATGACCAAGTTACGGGTCCCAATTTAGTCACTAAATGAGGACTATCTCTAGGAGTTTGAGGTCCTTCAATATGTTTAATCTAGACTAAAGTGGGGGAACATGATTTTTTTTAGCTACATGACATCAACCATCATGTAGACGGTAGGGCAGAATTAATTATTCAGAGTTCTACAGAACAGTAAAAGAAAAATTGGATTTTAATTAAATGAAGATTTCAGCTGGACCTCAGGAAATTGTTCTAATGGTAAGAGCTGTTCAGCAGTAGAACAAATTATTTCAGGAGGTAAACATCTGATAGAAATGTTGTAGTAGATTCCTGCACTAAACAGGATATGGAAATAGTGTAATTCCAAGGTCTCACCAACCTTTATATCTTATGATTCCTTGAGTCCTAACCATCATTTGCAATATATAAAATATGGTGGAGTTTAGTAACATTTGGAGTACAAGAAATGCTCTGCTCTGTTATATGCTCTAGATAATGCTTGCTGATGTTAGGAAAGCAAATTTAAATTTAAATTTTTAAAAACAACAGCGCAAAAGATGATGGTAGTTTGTAATTACTTAAAAAACTGTTAATTTTAGAATAGTTTTTTCTATTATTTATGTGAATCAATTCTAAAAATCACAGCCTCAGCTTTTAATACAAATGGATATAACGAAGCAGTCAAAATGCTTACTAGTAATTACTAGTAATACAGTAATTTTAGGATTTTATTTTCAGCAGTTGTATTTTATGTTCTACTTATTTTATATTAATATTGCTGTCAACCCTGAAGCTGGCCTGACCAAAGCCATTTTGACCGCTTCAGTGTTGCCACACTGAAGCTGAAGGATAGGGAGGTGGGATCTGAGATAGAGGGGTCTTGTAGCCAAAACATTTTTCTTGGCAACCAAGGAAATTCTCACACCTGGCTGGAGGAAGGTGAAGTGATGTTACCTGGTTGTCAGACTGCACCATAATTGGACAATGTGACTGATAGAAAATATTTTACTTTTAATTAGGTGAAAACTGCAAAAGTGACAATGAGAGCGAGGACGACTAGATGGTAAGTAAAGCCATCAGTCCGTTTGCTATCAAATCAAGATTAGTGGTGCCCAAGACAGGAGCCCAGGGAGAGGCCATCATACACACGGGCTGCACCTACTGCCTGATCAGACTCCCCCTCTGCCAGAAGCTAGGCATCCACATGAAACCCCTAGCCAGCCCCTATACTTTGAGCAGGTTGATGAGTCACTAATTGGGGGAGCCCCCGCAGCTCTGATCACCAAACCTGTTCATCTGGTTTGTGGTGGTGCCAAAAATGATTGGGACAATCATCCTGGGACTGGTCTAGCTAGACAAATGAGGTTCGACTATCTCTTGGGAAGACTGCTACTGAAAACTAAAGCTGGGATGAGGCCCCCTGGGGAAGAAATAGTCAAGCTGCTAGAAGGTGAAAAAGCAGCTGCAGCAGTGGAGGAACCACTGGGGAGCACTCAGGTCCCCAGAGAGTACTGGGAACTTGCAGAAGTTTTTAGTGAGGAAGAATGCAATGCCCTCCAGCCTCATCGCCTCACAGACTGTGCCACAGAGTTTGTGCCAGGGGCCAAACTACGCAAACCAAAGATGTACTCCATGACTTGAAAGGAGATGACCGGGAATACATCGACACTAACCTGGTCCGAGGATTTATACAACCTGCAAAATCCAGAATAGCTGGCCCAGTCCTCTTTAAGAATATGGGTCAATGAGATTATGTGTTGGATTTTAGAGGAATTAACAGAGTGTTAATTGAAAACATTTACCCACTGCCCCTCATTAAGGATATGCTAGCTCACCTAGCAAAGGAGAAGATATTCACCAAACTAAATTTGTGGGAGGCTTATTATAGAGTGCAGATAAAAGAAAGCAGTGAGCAGAAGACTGCCTTTAACTGCTCTCTAGGCAGCTTCCAATTTAAGGTGAT